GGCTGGCTTTGAACTTGTGATCCTCCTGTCTCAGCCTCCTGAGCCACTGGGATTATAGGCATGTGCCACTGCAACCAGCTTCCATTCAACTTTTAAAGACCAACACCCTGGTCTTGTAGAGATGGGGAGAGACATGAAAAGTTGCTCTTCTGAGGGTTACATGCAAGCAGGGCTGTAGATCCAAATCCCACAAGCCATTTCCACCTCCAAGAGAACAACTGTCTGGCCCTGGGAGCTACAGCTGGAGAAAGTCAGGGCTGTACAGCGATTAACACAGTATAGCTGTCTGCATATGGAGATGAAAGTGAAAGGGTGATCCGTTCAGTTTTAGACAGAAAAAACAATCCACAAACTACATAAATTCATTCACAATCTTGCTGAGTTTCTGCTCTCTGCCCACCCTGTGCAGAAACCCTCAAATACAAATATGAATAAGAAATATATTCTTCCTCCAAGCTCATGGTCTGGTAGGGAAGACAGATACTCAAACAGAGAATGACTAGACTTTGCTAAAAATTCACAATGATGGCAATGATCTTTGCCAGGCTGGTTTTCATCCAACAGAAATTGGATGGCATCATGTAAAGTGTACCAGGAGTCTTCTGCCAAAAAAATATAAACTCCCCTCTCCCCAAAGAATGAGTTCCTGAAAAGCCATCCAAAGATAAGTTTGTATTAGCAATAACAAAATAAAATCTAACCACAAGGATGAGATCCTCGTTAGAATAAGTTATATTCCATGCATGTATGTGTCAAAATATACTCTACTATCATAAATATTTAAAAAGAACAAATTAAAAAAATAATATAGAAAGGCTTTTCTACACATCACAGTAAAATAGTTTAATAAGACTACTTTTGGAACATGTAGCTGAAATCAGCCAAAGGAAAGAGAACAGGAGTTTTGAGAGCAAGGAAAAGAAGCGAGGACTAATTTGAAAGAGAGAGCACTACAGCCAGAGATAGGGGGCACCCAGAGGAAGGAGAGGGGAGGGGGGTACCACCTTCTCTAATGCATGGTTGTCCCCATCACTAGGGTACTGACCCCTGACCTTAGGGACATTATTCTACCACCCTGGAGTGTTCGAATGGTCCAAGTACTGGCAACGGAGACAGGTGTGCAATCCAGATTTTGTTTTTGTTTGGGGCGTTTTCTTTGCGGGTGCTGGGGACAGAACCCAGGGCTCACACATGCTGAGCCGCACCTCCAGCCCTGGAGAGGGGGGCTTTGGTGGAGAGTCCACCCAGAGCAAGGAAGAGATGCATGAATAAAGATTCAGTTAAGGAAAATAAAATTCTTAAAAATATATATTCAGTTAAGGAAAGATAGACACACCAAAAATAGAAAAAGATAAGCTTTCAATGAATGTGTACCAAAAATATTATTAATTATTCTCTTCTGTTCACATCTCTTCATATGCTCTTTATCTTTAAACTCCAGATTTCCCTTTTCACTTATGGGCTGCCAATGATATTAAATGAAAATATTTCAATAGTTTGCATTTTCGGCAATTTAGTTCTAAAGCTCATGAGTAACAATGGATTAAATGAAGTCAATCCAAAGTCAAAAACTTCAGGCACAAAAATCCATTAACTTTTAATACTCTCAGAAGATGAACCTAATTTTAAATGAAAGCTGCCTCTTAAACTATATTATGGTTGTTCTAGACCATAATTTGTTTTGGCAAACACTCTGAAGAAATTCACATGAAATTTCAATGAACTACAAGTAAATTACCCATGTAGCAAAAAAATATTTTTGGATAGCTGCAAATGAATACTAAAAGATGATGGACTTTGGAAGAAAAACAGTAATCAAATAAAATATGTAGTGATGGCACATGGGTTAGAAATTATTCCCGGTAATCTGTCTCTATTAAGGAGACTATCCACATTTAATTTGGTCAAGTGTAGCTACACAGTGAACGTGAAGGCCCTATTGAGACACAACCCAAAATGCCAAAGTAAAATTTCTTTTTAGGGTTTTAATCCGAAAGAGATAGAATAATTTTTTCCTCAATTCACTAAAAACCAAAATTACAGCCATTAATGAAAATGTTCCCCCTTTGAACCCTAACTTTTAGTAGGTTTCATTTCTTTCATTCATTAAACAGTTTCTTATTCTGGCCCAAACAGCATCATTGCACATCTAGTAATAATTAAATCTTCCCAAAGCTTCCTTCCCCTGAAGTAAATTCAGTGTGATCCATAACTACCAAATTTACTGACATTACAGCAGACAAATAATCAGTTACTCTATCCACCAAATTACCCAACTGAACAGATTTTGAGAAAAAATATGGAAGTCGCAGGATAAGCCGGTCACACTTGCTAGAAGATTTTAAACATACCCAACCTCTCCTGTGACTTCTATTAATTTGCCTACAAAAAAGACTGATAAGGTGCAAATTATGAATGACTTTTAACTACAGGTGAGCTGGATGAAAGTACCTACATTTTTTTGAAAGCTGAGGAATGGTCAGTGGAAATTTCTCTCTGCACTAGACACTACGTATATTTTTTCCTCTTGCTTTTCCTTTCTTTTTTTATTTTTGCAGTGCTAGGGACCGAACCCAGCCAAATGCTGGGCAAATGCTCTACCATCAAGTCCCACTCCCAGCCCCTAAATACTTATTTCTCTATACTTTCTCCTTCAAGACCCCATCTCCATTCACAGAGAAAGAAAGCTACCACCCCCCACACCCCAAGCCCCGCACCAAGACTCCATTTTTCAATTTTATGGAAAGGGTCAGATCTCTGGAGACTGCAGATGGAAACTAGATGTCCAAAAATTTTGACGAGTAGTACTTAATTATAATTATCCTGGATACACTTTTTTGATGATACGATTTGCTTTGTGTTAACAAATGGCTTTTCTGTTGTATTAACTACTTTTGAAATAATGCAAATAACAAATTGTTTTAGAATTCAACCATCTAGAAACTTTCTTAGTATTGTCCAAATGTAAAATATATCAACATCTATTAATTCAAATAAATTATATATATTTAAAAGTTACATGTTTAAGAATTATGTAAACATATTACAAGTTGTACAAATCACAGGCTTAAAAATTTACAAATACATTCTTAAATTGATCTTAAATATAAATTCTCAAGATAAATTAGGAGTTTTAAGGGGGAAAAAAAAAAAGAGTTCAGGGGCAAGGTGTGGTGGTGCAGACCCTGTAATCCCAGCAACTCAGGCAGCTAAGACAGGAGAATCACAAGTTCAAGGTCAGCCTGGGCAACTTAGCAAGGCCCTAAGCAACTTAGTGAAACCCTGTCTCTCAATAGAAAACAAACAAACAAAAATGGATGGGAATGTGGCTCAGTGGTAAAACACCTTGGGTTAAATCTCCAGTACCAAAAATAAAAAGAAAGAAAAAAAGAGTTCAGGGCTTCACATCTAGAAAATTGGGAAACAGGCCTTTGGAAGCAACAGAATTGTGGGGTAACTCTTGAGTGAAAGTGGCTGAAACTGGGCTCAAGGAGTCCTCCTGCCTCAGCTTCCTGAATAACTGGGACACCGGTCCACATGACTATACCCAGTTATTCACATAATTTTTAAACCTGCTGGTGTTGAGGTTAGACATACTGGATAAATTTGAAAGACAGGCTCAAGTTTCTCACACCTATTTTAAAGTATACATATTAATTTTAAAGCACTGAATCTTAAAAATACATCAGTGAGCTGGGTGTAGCTCAGCAGTGCTTGTTAGCATGAGCAAGACCTTGAATTTGACCCAGGGAGCTTTCAAGAAGAAAAAACAAAACACCTGTGTGAGATTTGGGGTAACTATTTTCCCTGGTACAGTATGGACTCAAGTTTCTCCTCTCAGAGAAGAAAAATTATTAGTTTTTTTTAGAACTTTCATTCAATATAGTTCACTAAGAAGACAAATATTTTATTTCACATATCTAGGAAATGGGGTGTTTTAGTCAATTGAATATGCTCAAAAGTAAAAAACATTAACTAAAAGTATACTTAGATGTTATGATATAAAAGTAGAATACATCAATAAAATATTGTTTGGAATGCTCATCATACTCTATTCTTTTTTGATGATAAAAGTGTACTTATAGAATTTAAACATCAGCATAATAATTATTCTAGAGTATTTCAGAGGGGAAATCTGATTATTCAGTCTTCTCCTTGACTGAGTTCTATGTAAGTAGAAATGCAGTGTCAGGGCTATATTTGATATAAAAGGTAATCTGATCCAAAAGTGTTTAGGAGACAACCTGAGATTTTAAAATAGAGATATAAACAAGTAGCACTGGGGTCTCTGAACTCAACAGGACTAAAATATTAGAACAGAAATATTAATAATTCTAAAATGCCCTTTTGCCACTGTAGTCAATTTTAGCCAAAATACCAGGAAAGCAAAAGCTTTAGAGAAGTAGGATTTTCAGAGTAGAACTGGGAGAGAAGTTCTGGATGAAATTTAAAGGAACCATGGATCATTTAAAAGCAATTGGGTCTACAGAAGTGCGATTCTTCAAAATGGAGCTCAGACCTGATGAATGAAATGCTTTCTCTGCAGGGAATTCAGTGCACTTTGGGAACAAAAGGTAGTCCCATTAAGGGGGGCCCTGCCTCCTCACTTCCCTGGGCGCCTTCCTCCCACATCGGCCTCTTTTCTGTGAAGGAAGGCGAATGCCGACTGCAAGGTGCCATCGCCGCTCTGCTGGGAAAAGCAGAGGAAGGTGGCCCAGAGGAAACCACAGAGTCCAGTGTAAGCTGTCCTCCAGTGGACGGGAACCAGGCCGAAGTTGGTCAGCTGGAACAGAGAGAGTCTGTAAGGGCTCCACAAGTCAGAGGCAGGGTTCGCATTCTGAGTGGTTTTGTTTATTTGTCTATTTGGGGTTTTGTTTTGGCAGAGCTAGGGATCAAACCCCAGACCTCAGACATGCCAGGCAAGCCCCCCTCCCACGGAGCTACACCCCAGCCCGAGGTTCCAAGGAGTTTGAAACTCACCTGTACAAAAGGCCAGTACATCAGACCTGTCTGGAATAAGGAAAAACCTGATTACAATGCTGTTTCAATCTCACACACACAATTCTATAAAAGAACAAGAAATATGAGGAAGACAAAATGCCCAGGTGGTACACTGTATCAGACTAAGCCGATTAAATTCAGATTACTCTTTTCTTCCTTTTTTCTTTCTTTCTCTATTCGCTTCTTTCTTTCTTTCTTGACTGTTCCCATTTTTTTTTAAAATTGTACTTCTCCATGAAGCTTTTTTTTTATTTTTAATATTTATTTTTTAATTTTCAGCGGACACAACATCTTTGTCTGTATGTGGTGCTGAGGATCGAACCCGGGCCGCACACGCATGCCAGGCGAGCGTGCTACCGCTTGAGCCACATCCCCAGCCCCTTGACTGTTCCCATTTCAGGCGTACTTTCTTTTTTTACTTGTTTATATTTTCTGAAGTTTCTAAACTAAACAGTTGCAAACCAAAGATATACTATGTACTTTTACATTAATATATATTACATGTAATACATATTTTATATTTAAAGTATATGTCCATTTGAGAATTTAACAAAGTATTTTTGTAAAGTAGCAAAAAATAATTCTCGAAGGCTAAACCCATTCAAATATGGCTTGACTTCTTTCTTTTTCTTTTTTTTTTGCGGGGGGGCAGAGGGTACCAGGGATTGAACCCAAGGGTGCTTAACCACTGAGCCACATCCCCAGCCCTTTTTATTTTTTTTATTTTGAAACAATCTCACTAAGTTGCTTAGGGCCTCACTAAGTTGCTGAGGCTGACCTTGAACTTGTGTGATCTTCCTGCCTCAGCCTCCTGTGTCACCTGGATTAAAAGTCTGAGCCACTGCACCGGATCATCTTTTTTTAATTTTTTTTTAGATGTTGATGGACCTCTATTTTATTTATTTATTTGTTTGTTTGTTTATTTATTTATTTATATGCAGTGTTGAGAATTGAACCCAATGCCTCTCACACACCAGGCAAGTGCTCTACCACTGAGCTACAACCTCAGCCTCCTGGCTCACCTTATATAGATATATATATATATATATATATATATATATATATATGGAAATAATTTCAAACTTACAAAAACTAACAAGAATAGTCTAAGTAAGCTGGGCTTAGTGGTACACACCTGTAATCCCAGCAGCTAGGGAGGCTGAGGCAGGAAGATTAAGAGTTCAAAGCCAGCCTCAGCAACAGTGAGGCACTAAGCAACTCAGTGAGGCCCTGTTTCTAAATAAAATACAAAATAGGGCTGGGGACGAGGCTCAGTGGTTGAGTGTCCTTGAGTTCAATCCCTGGTAGAAAGAAAGAAAAGAAAAGAAAGGAAGGAAAGAATAGTGTAAAGAACATTCCTGTATTCTTTACCCAAATTCACCTAGTTTTTTTAATACTTTGTCCCATTTGCTTTATTAATTGCTGCTCCATGCCTCCATCCCTCCGTGCCCCCACCCATGCACGCCCCTCTCCAGGCTACTTGCATGCATGCATCTGTCTGATATGGTTTTGTGGATCATCTGAGAGGACGCTGTACACAGAATTGCCCCTTACCCCTGGATACTTAAGTATCTATTTCCTTAGAATTAGGATGTTCTTTTATATCACCACAATTCTATAGGTTATATAGTTATCAATTTCAATAAAGTTACCAATGACCATGCTTTATATATTGTCCATTGTGGGAGCCGCCCTGGATGACGTGCCTTTAAGTCCTGATGTACGGGATTCTGAGAATTATTGCTTTCAGTCGGGCACAGTAGTGCCAGGTCACAGTAACTTGGGCATTACCCCAGCTCGGATAACAAGGAGTGGCTCCAGGAGTAGGTGTCACCCACGGGGGCTAAGTTACACTCACCTGTTCCTTTGTAATCCTACCCCTTCTACCTTTTTTGGATAGAATGTTCTAAGAAACAGTGTCCCCCCAAATAAAAGCCCACTTCCAAAGTGTGTGCGCTCTCTCTCTCTCTCTCTCTCTCTCTCTTTCTCTCTCTCTGGCAGCCTCTCGTGACCTTCTCTTGTCCCCCTTTGGTGGAGCCTGAGGCCAGGAGCCAGAGAAAGCCGTCCTGAAGCTTATAAAAGGTATTCTGTGTCTGTGTGGTATTTTGCAACACCCCGAATTCACACGAGTGACTTTAGTTCAGCTGCCCGCACTGGATGGGGGTGGCAGTCCATATCCCATTTTTCCAATTGGCCATGTAAGGGCCTTCAGGGACACAATATCTTTGTTTATTTATTTTTATGTGGCACTGAGATTCAAACCCAGTGCCTCACACATGCAAGGCAAGTGACCTACCACTGAGCTACAACCCCAGTCCCTTCATGTCATTTCTTTTCCTTATGGTACGTGATCTAGTTTAGGATGAGGAATTGCATGTACTTGCCGTGTCCCATTAGTTCCATTGATTAGGGACATTAAAAAAAACTATTATGACATTGCTATCTCTGAAGAGTAAAGTCTTGCCTTCTCTTAGAATAAAAACAAATATTTTAATATGGGGAGGTTTGTCTGTGTTTCCTCATGATTAGATTTGGGTTATAATTCCTGGCTGGAACACTGCATGTGGGTGGTGTCATGTCCTTGAGTTATCCCATCAGAAGGCGCATGATGCCCACCTGCCACTGATCAGAGATGTTCATTTTGATCACTGCTCGTGGTGTCCAGTTTTGCCACTGTACAGTTGCCCTTCTTTTACCCTTGAAACTATCATGGGTAGCAATAATGTAACCTGTAGGGAGGCACCAAAGACCATTCAAACAGGAGCCCCTCCCCTTCAGGATATCCTCCTCCCTATGGGTGGATTCTCTGCCTCCAGTTGATTCTGTCTGACCCACTGTCCTGTTGTGATGGGCTGCCACATGGTAAGCTTCCACCCCCAGCAGTAGTCCCCCATTTGACCCGCTGCTGCTCAGCATTCTGCTCTCCCAGGTATTTCTCTCTTTATTATCCGTATAGACTCAGGATTTCCTACTTCTTTCTATGTTTTATAATCCATTACTCTGTTTAATTATTTTTGGTGCTCAAGTGCCCCAGATTTAGCCAGTGGGAGGCCCTTCAAGCTGGCTCCTACGTCCTTGTGCTGTGCTGCACCTTTTTTTTCTTTTTGAAAAATCTACTTCCTGACAGGTAAGGTGATGCATGCCTGTAAGTCCAGCAACTTGGGAGGCTGAGGTAGGAGGATCCCAAGTTTGGGGCCAGCCTCAGCAACTTAGTGAGACCCTGTCTCAAAATAAAAAGGGCTGGGGAAGAATACAGTCCTGTATTCTACAGTCCTGAAGAATTCTTCAGAGATAGCAAGGTCATAATAGATTGAAAAACAAAAGGCTCAGAAAATAGGAAATGTCCCTGATGAATGGGGATGTGGTTAAGCACTTCTGGGTTCAATCCTAAATTTTAAAAAAACAAAAAACAAAACTTCCTTACATTCTGGTATAACGAGATGTTCCAGGCTTAACTAATACCTTGTACCTTGTACATGCCCTTCCCTAGTCTTGGAACCAGTCATTTCTTTAAGGAGTCCTCATTCATTCTTTTTTTATAAGGAATGATGTTAGACACCAAAGTTTGAGCACTGATGGCACCATGTTATGTCAATAAAATCAGTGGCAGATGGGTGTGGTGGTATATGCCCATAATCCCAGCTGCTCTGGAGGAGAATCTCAAGTTCAAAGTCAACCTCAGCAACTTAATGAGGCCCTAAGTAACTCAGTGAGTGAGACCCTGTCTCTAAATTTAAAAATACAAAAAAAGGCTGGGGGTGTGGCTCAGTGGTTGAGCGCTCCTGGATTCACTCCCCAGTACCAAAAAAGAAAGAAAGAAAATCAGTGTCCAACAGGGCATGAAGGTGCATGCCTCTAATCCCAGCAGGCATGGGCAAGGGTGAGGCAGGAGAATCACAAGTTCAAAGTCTCAGCCTCAGCAACTTAGCAACTATACAAAAACTATAAACTACACAAGAGAAGAATGTAATATCAAATTGACTTGTTTTGTTTTTGGTACCAACAACTGAACTCAGGGGCACTCAACCACTGAGCCTCGTCCCCAGCCCTATTTTGTATTTTATTTGGAGACAGGGTCTCACTGAGTTGCTTAGTGCCTTACTTTTGTTGAGGCTGGGTTTGAATTCTTGATCCTCCTGCCTCAGGCTCCCAAGCTGCTGGGATTACAGGTGTGCACCACTGTGCCCAGCTCAGATTGACTTCTAAGAGAGAATACATTTGAGCCCCAATACTGCAGCCGGTGAAAGGAGACTGAAATTGCATGCCCTCTGTGCACAAAGTGAAAAAACAAACCAAAAGGCTCAAGGACTACTTATACATGAACAACAAATATAGTAGTCACATCCTTCCCATTTCCATCTAAAGAACACAGACTGGAGTGGGGTGTGGTGGCATCCCCCTTTATTATCCCCATGAGGGGGGAGGCTGAGGCAAGGGATCACAAGTTCAAGACCAGCCTCAGCAACTTAGCAAGGCCCTGTCCCAAAATAAAAAGAGCAGGGGATGTGGTTCAGTGGTAAAGTGCCCCTGGGTTTTTTCCCCAGCACCAAAAAATATAGAAAGAAAGAGCATGGATTGGGCAGAGAAGTGGCTTCTTTACAACCAATACTCACACTACCACTTGGAGTCAAGATAGCCCTTTGTGGCGGATTCTTTGTGAATACTTCTGACTGCAAACACTTTGTACTATTAGTTTCATTGATCAAACTCGAATCAAGAGCCCAGTTTGCAGCCAATTTCTCCCATGTCTAATACCACTAGCTCTGAACTCTCTTCTGTGTAGTAGAAACCTCACAATAGACCAAAGTATCTGAAATTCAACATTTCCCAAACTGAACCTATCTTATTTTCTCTGATTGGCTCCCCTTCCTCCATGTCCTATGTCATATGAAGACACATTACACATACGGTTGCTCCAGCCAGAAACCTGCTCCATCCCTCACCCCTTGACACTGCTTTTGATGGAGAACTAAATACATCTGAAACATGAGGCCCGTCTGCATATATTCTGGAATTCTGAAATTTTATCTTATTGTTATTAATAGAATCAAACCTGCTCTGGGAAAGAGATGAAAAATATCCCTGATTTTGCCAAGCCTTAGGATCGTGTTCAACAGATTTTTATTGAATAAATGAATGAAATGTGTGCGGGGCTGGATTGTATGCATTTGTACTGAGCAAACAGCACAGCAGGAGACTTGCTCCAAGCCTAGGGAGAAACCTGGGAAACATCATCCTTCTCTGTAAATACCTCTGTGGCATTAAGAAGGTTCTTTTCACAAGGACTCAGCAGAAGGCACAACTGGAAACACTGGCTCTGAATGTGGGAACAATTTCATTAAAGCCACTCACATTCTCCAATTTCTACTTTGCAGATAGCCTCTGAAATTTACAAAATAAATTGTGATCACTCATGATCAGAAATATGATAAAGCCCCCGATCATCATGAATGTTAACTAAATTAAAGAGATTCTTTTCTACCCATGAGAAGCAAAGACAGCCCTAAGTCTCTTCCCAGTCAGCTGTCAGAACAAATTCCCATCAGGTACAGTGGTGCACGGCTGTAGTCCCAGCTAACAGGAGGATCACTTGAGCCCAGGAGTCTGAGACCAGCTGGAGCAACACAGCCAGACCCCATTGCAGGAAAAAAAAAAAAAAAAAAGAAAGTAAGGAAGAAAGAAAGAAAACATAGGGCTGGGGATATATTGCCTCACAGGCACAAGGTCCTAGGTTTGATCCCCAGCACCACGAAAAGATAAAGAAAGAAAAAATAAAATATAAACAACAATTTGAAAATATTTAATGTGTGCCTTAATCCCAGCAACTAGGGAGGCTGAGGCAGGGGGATCATAAGTTTGAGGCTATCCCCAGCAACTTAGAGAGATCTGGTTTCCCAGTAAAAAATCAAAAGGGCTGGGGACGTAGCTCAGCAGAAGAGCACTTGCCTAGCATACACAAGGGCCTGGGTTCAAAATCCTTAGTCCTGGGGAAAAAAAGAGAAAGAAAAAAAATTCAAGACTTCTGTCAAAGTATTGATAGAGATACTGGACCAATCAAATTGGAACCCTAATTTAAAAATAGTTTTACTAAAACGTACTTAATGTTAAAAATCTGCAAATACAATTTCAAAAACCTGTCTTACCTTATACGTATTCCAAAATTTCTGTTTCAGGTCCAAAAGTACGTCATCCTTTTCCTGAAGAATGCTCATACCTATGTACAGAAGCACACACAGAAAGAATTTTAGGGATGGGGTGTACCTCAGTATTATTCTAATCAAAATTTAAATGTAGGGTATCAATTTAGCCTTCCTGAAAATTACTTCATCATCCCTGGAAAGAAATTTGGGGATGGGGGGACTCTCTTAGGAAGGGTATAAAAATCAGTGTAATTTAAAAATTCTGCTCCAATCCTGAATGGAATGTTTCTGGACTACTGTGTACAAGGCCCTGGCTGTGATCCCCAGCACTGGAAAAAAAACTTTTTTTTTTAGCCAAGTGCAGAGAAGCACAAATTCAAAGCCAGCCTCAGCAAAAGTGAGGCACTAAGCAACTCAGTGAGACCCTGTCTCTAAATAAAATACAAAATAGGGCTAGTGATGTGGCTCAATGTTTGAGTGCCCCTGAGTTCAACCCATGGTACAAAAAATTTTTTTTAATTTTTTTTTTTTTACAGATCCAGGTAAAATATTACTGTAAAACAGTTCTTATTCAAGTTTTCCATTCCCATATTCAAAGTAACCAGCCATAATCACTCACTCAATATATTCCTTTTGATCCAACAGTGAAAACAGAACATAATCTTCATTTCAAAACTAGATAAATGGTGGCCCAGCCCCGTGGCACACTCCTATACTACCAGCCACTAGGGAGCCTGAGGCAGGAGGATCTCAAGTTTGAGGCTAGCCTGGGCAATTTAGCAAGATCCTGTCTTGAAATAAAAAGGTGTGGGGATTAGCTCAACGATTGCCCAATATGTTCTAGGCCCCAGGTTCAATCCCATGTACAAAAAAAAAAAAAAAAACTAGATAAATTTTAAAGTAATGGCAAATACAAAGTTAGAATAACAGTTGTTAGAATAACAGTTTATAGCAGAACAAATTTTTTTCAATAAAAAAATGGTAAGAATCCACACACACATACAAAGTAGCATTAATATAATGAACCTGTCAGTGAGGTTTTCAAACATTTTGTGAAATGCTGAAAATTTTTAAATTTCCTTTTTTTAAAAAAATATTTTCTAGTTGTCGATGGACCTTTATTTTATTTATTTATATGCAGTTCTGAGAATCAAACCCAGTGGCTCACACATGCTAGGCAAGCGCACTACCACTGAGCCACAACCCCAGCTCCTCCTTTTTTTTTTCTTTTTTTTTAATGCATGCTAAACACATGCTCTACCACTGAGCTACATCACTACCCTAATGTTATTCATTTTAAAAAGGCTGGTAGACTCTGGATATTCTAGCAACTACAAATTTCCCATTAGTATTATTCTAATCAGGGTATTATTTAATGCAGGGTATCAATTTAACCTTCCTGAAAACTACTTCATCATCCCTGGAAAGAAATTTGGGGATGGGAAGACTCTCTTAGGAAGGGTATAAAAATCAGTGTGATTTAAAAATTCTCCCCCAACCCTGATTACCAAGGAGGGGAAATCAGAGACTTATTAGTCAACTGCAGGAGATTCTTAGAACAAGAATCAAAAGAAAACCCAGCAAAAAAATATTGGTAATACTGTGTTCCACTTGCCCAGCATTAGTTAAATGCTATGCACTTCCTGTGTACCATTTCACCTGACCCTCCTAACAATTCTCCAAAGTAGGTAAGGCTAAAAGAAGGAAAAAAGATTAGGGAGGCTAATAACGGTGGAGTCCAACCTAGCTGTCCAATTCCAAGCCAGACCTCAAAACCGTCAGTACTCTGCCTCCCCAAGGTGGTCCTGGCACAAAACATCATCAGACTTAGGCAATTTCCAAGTAACACCTTCAACAAGCATCCAACTCACCCCTCCTGCCTTCCCTCTTTGTTGTAACATGAAGAGAGGGAAAATGGAGGAGAAATCAAAAACCAAAGCAAAGCAGCAATCTGAGCAGGAGTCTCTACCAGGGCCCTCAGGCCTCAATCACAAAAGACCAAAACCACTGAGACTTAGCTTTTTCTGACCTCAGACAGACAACAGCTCACCATCAGGGTCTCAAGATCAAGAACATGATTGACAGCCCAAAGATGTGGTCTCTGGGGTGAATCACTATTTGTAAGATGAGAATAAGGAGAGTACCTGCTTCATTGGTTGAAGATTAAATCAAATCCTGACCCCCCCCCCCCCCCTTCACCAGTGTAAGGCCACTGTACTCACAGGCACAGGAACCTATTTGCAAACTTGGTTGGGAAGGCCCACTGTGGGACCAGGCACAGATCGTCCAATAAAATCAGGAGGCCCCTGCTCTCAGGCTGTCTAGTCTCCCCATCCCACTGACCCCATCCACCAGAGGTTTGCTGAGACTCCAACAGGCAACCAGGTCTTTGATGATTCCTGTGCCGTCTGTAGGGACTGTAGCCACCAAGCTGGGCTGCAATTTATCTGGTTTTTGAAAGAAGATTATGTTCTGTTTTTACTGTTGGCCTCCCTAAATAAGACCTTGGGGCAGGGATGTTTCCTCAAGTTGGTGGCTCCCTGCTCTCAACCAGTTTTAAGAGTCACTGAGCCACTGAGAGAGGTCCCCTCCCAATCTGGGAGGGAATTTGTGACTCCCAGTACCAAGGTTAGGTTGCAAACTGTAGAGATTTTCTTCAGAAATGAGTGTCCCTCCCCAGTTACCTGCCCGGATCGAGGCTACATAAGCTACCCACCCACCCCTTCTGTATTTCTTGGTGGTCAGGCAAGGGTCGCCAAAGTCAGACCTTCCACCTGCTGGCACATTTTCTGAAGAGAAGGCTTCCTTGCGGGTATAGAGTCCCCTTAAATTCTGAGTGAGACCCCCATGGAAAATCTTGTTACCAAAGCAGGACTAGGACCCTGGGCGTGGATTTTCTGGGCAACTAGGCCCAGCGACAGGTTCCACCTGCTCTGCTTCCCACAGTTCTGGGTCCTCTAGCACTTTGATGGTGTGTTGGACCCAGAGCATGAATTTTCCAGCAGCCTCCAGGGAGTGCAGTTGCTGGGGTTTAAGGAAAGGACCTCAAACCTATGCCCCACTCTTGAACTCTGCCCAAACCGCCTCTGCTCTGATCCCTGGCCCACTGGACTCCCCAGCTCCCAGGCTTCCCTAATTCCTCTCTCTGAGAAACCTCAACTTCCAGTCCCAGGCACCTCAGCCCGGGTTCCCAGCCTCCAGTCCTCACCCCAGGGCTTTCAAACCTGGTCCCCACCTCCAGAGCAACCCGCTTCTGCCTCAGTGCTCCGTCCCTGCAACAGTGCGCAACGATCCTCCGCCCCCTCAGTCCTTTAACCTCCTTCTGGGCCTCCAGTACCCTAATCTCGGCACTCAGGCCCGCTAGTACCCCGGTCCCCTGGACCCTGCCCTGGCCCCTCACCGACGTAGAAGGCCGAGAGGGCGATGGGCCCTCCGAACAGCTGGTCGCACAGCACCTTGGTCAGGACCACGCGCGGCGCGCGGCCGGGTAGCGCGCGCTCCAGCAGGCGCAGCCACACGTAGTTGAAGTTGGCGTGGAAGGTCACTGCCAGGGTGGCCACGCGCCGCGTCTGGCGCCAGTCTGCCGGGCCGCCCCGCAGCCGCTGCTGGAGCGCGTCGCCGGCCGAGAAGAGCCCGGCGTAGAGCAGGACGTTGGTGGGCCACGGGTAGCGCTGGGCCGCGCGCGGCAGCGCCCGCCACCATCCAGCCATGCCGGTGCCTGGGCACCCGCCCAGCCGCCTAACTGCACCGCCTCGGCCGCCGCCCGCGAGCTCAGCACCTCCACCTCCACCTCCACCTCCACCTCCACCTCCACCTGCCTCCTCCGGATGCTCGAGAGCGATTGGACGCCCCGCGCACGCCCAGCCCGCGCGTCCAATCCCGAGGCCGCTGGCCATCGTGGGGGCTGAGCATTTGGAAAGCGCCTGGTCTGCGCAGCGCTAGAGTCCATTTGCATGAAATCTCCAGAATAGGCAAATCCAGACTGACAGAAGGTAGATTAGTCGTGGTCAGGGCTGGGCCATGTGAGAACAAAAAGGGACTGCTACCGGGGCTTGGGGTTCTTTTTAAGAGTGACCAACACGTTTTGTAATCAGACCCGGGCGATGGTTTGCAGGACTGTGTGAATATGCTAAAAGACATTTAATCGTACTTTAAAAGGATGAATTTTGTGAATTCTATCACACAAAATAAAAGATTCGGGCTCAAAAAAAAAGGCAATGTATTCTAAATTCTTGCGGGCAAGGAATTCATTCAGCACACAGAATACACTGACAGTGTCGCTTCTTTTGGAGAAAAACAAAGGTTAAAATCCGAGACTTTTCGTGAATGTGAGAAGGGCCAGTGTGCTTACTGTCTTCTCTTCAGTTGGCCCTCTTTGGTCACTGCCTCCCCACAACAGCCTGAGTTCCCGGGTATTGTCCCGTGAGCAGGGGTCAGTGGACACCAGAACAGGTAGAAGCTCTGCCCTCGTGGAACTCATTTTTTCCTTACTTCTTTTCCTGTTCTTTCCACATTTTCTGTTTATCCTATTTTACTTAATTTTTAAATGTGTATTTTTAAACTTTTTCTTCCACGTTAAAAAAAATTAATTTATTCATTTATTTTTCTATATGGCACTTCCCCCTCCACTCTTCCCACCTCTTGGTTCCTAGCTTCTACTCTATTGATTTTCCTTTGATTTTAATGAGATCCCTGCCTCTCTTCTCTTCTCCATTTTCCTCTGTGGCTTCCACGTATGAGAGAAAACACATGATTTTTGACCTTCTGGGTTTGACTTATTTCCCTTAACATATGTTCTCAAGTTTTATCTATTTTTCTGCCAATGACATAATTTCACTGTCTTTATGGCTGAATAAAACTGCATTGTGTATATGTATCACATTTTCTTTATCCATTCATCTGTTGATGGTCACCTAGGCTGGTTCCATAGTTTGGCTATTGTGAATTGTGCTGCAATAAACATGGGTCTGCATGTGTCACTGTAGTATGCTGACTTCAATTCTTTAGGATAAATACTGAGGAGTGGTATTGCAGGTCATAAGGTGGTTCTAAGCCTAGTCTTTTGAGGAACCTCCATACTGATTTCCACAGTGGCTATACTAATTTTCAATCTCACCAACAGTTTAAAGGTGTTCTTTTTTCTCCCCATCCTCTCTAGCATTTACTACTCTTTATATTTTTTTTAATACTTTTTAGTTGTAGATAGACACAATGCCTTTATTTTAAAATTTTTTAGCTGTAATTGGACACAATGCCTTTATTTTATTTATTTTTATGTGCTGCTGAGGACTGAACCCAGTGCCTCACATGTACTAGGCAAGCTCTCTGCCACTGAGCCACAACCCTAGCCCTGTTTATATTCTTGATGACTGATGTGAGATGAAATCTCAGTGTAGTTTTTATTTGCATTTCCCTAATTGCTAATGATGAATATTTTTTCATATATTTGTGGATCATTGAATTTCTTCTTTTATAAAGCATCTGTTTAGTTTGTTTGTCCATTTAATTGGATTATTTTTTTAGTGATAAGTTTTTTTTTTAGTTCTTACATATTTTAAACATTAATCCTCTATCAGAAGATGTTTTATTCAGCTTTGTTGCCACTATAACAACAACAACAAAAAAAATCTGCGAAGAACAATTTTAGAGGAGGAAAAGTTAATTTGGGGGTTCACAACTTCACAGGTCTCAGTCCATAGACAGCCAGCTCCATTTTTCTGGGCCTAATGTGTGGCAGAACATCATGGCAGAGAATGTGTAGGAAAGTGGCTCAGGACATGGCTACCAGGAAGTAAAGAGAGACACTGCAGACCAGGGACAAATATATACCACAAAATATGCCCCCCATGACCCTCCTCCTTCAACAGATTCTACCTGTCTACAGTTACCACCTAGTTAATACTAACCCAGTTTAGGTTAAGGCTCTCATAACCCGATCATTTCACTCCTGAACTTTCTTGAATTGTCTCATGTATGAGCTTTTGGGAGAGACCTAATACCTAAACCATAACAGAAGAATAGTTAACAAAGATTTTCTCCCATTCTGTAGGTTCTCATTCCTAATTGTTTCCTTTGCTATGCAGAAGTCTTTTCAATTTGATAACATCCCATATATTAAATCTTCACATTATTTCCTGAGCTTTAGGGGTCCTATTGGGATAGTCATTTCTTGTGCCTATATGTTGGAAGCATTGGCTTTACATTTTCTTCTAGGAGTTGCCTAGTTTCTGGTCTAATTCCTAGGTCCTTCATCCATTTTGAGTTGATTTTTGTACAGCATGAGAGATAAAGGTCTAGTTTCCTTATTGTACATGTAGATAACCAATTTTCCCAGAACCATTTGTTTAAAAGGCTGCTTTTTCTTCAATGTACGTTTTTTGGCTCCTTTGTCAAGGATCGGATGACTATATCTCTGTGGGTTTGTCTTTGTGTCTTCTATTCTGTACCACTGGTATATGTGTCGTTTCTTATGTCAGAATCATGTAGTTTTTGTTACTATAGTATAATTTGAAGGCAGGTATTTTGATACCTCCAGCATTGCTTTTTTGTCTTAGGATTGCTTTGTCTATTTTGGGTCTTTTATTCTTCCAAATGAATTTTAGGACTGTTTTTTCTAAGTCATTGGTATTTTGATGGGGATTGCTTTGAATCTGTATATTGCCTTTGGTAGTGTGGCCATTTTAATGATATTAATTATGCCTATCCATGAACATGGGAGGTCTTTCCATCTTATGAGGTCTTCTTCAATTTCTTTCTTCAGTGTTCTGTAGTTTTCATCGTAGAAGTCTTTAGCCTTCTAGATTTATTCCTAGGGTTTTTTGTTTTTGAGACTATTGTGAATAAAATAGGGTTTTTTTGACATTCTAAATATAGGATCATTAACTGCAGTGATAGTTTGTCTTCTTCCTTTGCTATTTTTATTCCTTTTTAAATTCCCTTCTTTTGCCTAATGGTGCTGGCTAAAATATCTAGCACTATAATAAATAGGAAGGGTGAGAGTGGACATCCTTGTCTTGTTCCAGATTTTAAAGGAAATGCTTTCAGTTTTTCCCCATTTATTATGAGATTGGCTTTGGGTTTTTCATAAATAGTGTTGAGGTAGCTTCCTTCTATCCCTAATTTCTTCAGTGTTTTTATCATGCATGGGTGCTGAATTACATTTATTGCATGTTAAACCATCCTTGTATCTCTGGAATAAAACCAATGTTTTATTCATGATGTACAATCTTCATAATATTTTGTTGAACACTAATATTTTATTAAGAATTTTTGCACCTAAGTTCATCCAAAATATTGGTCTGTAGTTCTCATTCCTTAATGCATCCTTATCTAGTTTTAGTATGATATTGATTTCATAGAATGAATTTGGAAGTGTTCTTTCCCCTTCTACTTCATGGAATAATTTGAGGAATATTGACATTAGTTCTTTAAATGTCTGGTAGAATTTGACTGAGAATCCATCTGGTCCTGGGCTTTTCTTTGTAGGGAGGCTTTTTTTTTTTTTTTTAGTGCTTCTGTCTTATTACAAGTTATTGGTCTGTTTGTTTCCTCTGTCCTCTTGATTCAATTTTGTTAGATTATATGTGTCTAGAAATGTATCCATTTCTTCTAGATTTTCCAATTTATTGGACTATAAATTTTCAAAATAGTCCCTAATGAGCTCTGGGTTTCTGTGATGTCTGTAGTATTTTCTCCTTTCCTCTCCTCTAATTTTATTAACTTGGAATTTCTCTCCTTTTCTTTTGGTTAGTTTGGCTAAGGGCTTATAGATCTTGTTTATCTTTTCAAAGAACCAACTTTGTTTCACTGATTCTTTGTATTTTTTTTTTATTCTCAAGTTCATTGATTTCAGCTCTGATCTTATTTCTTTCCTTCTACTGGTTTTGGGATTGGTTTGTTGTTCTTTTTTCAAGGGACTTGAGATTCACCATTGGGTTGTGTATTTGGGATCTTTCTGATTTTCTAGTGTAGGCACTCATAACTATAAACTTTCCTCTTAGAACTGTCTTTATAATGTCCCAGATGTTCTGTTTTTTTAACTGTTCCCATTTCAGCAAAAAAAAAAAAAAAATTTAATTTCTTCCCTGATTCACCCATTCATCATTCAAAAGTGTATTTTTCAATCTTCCTGTGTTTTTATAATTTCTATAGGGTCTTGTCATTTTGATTTCTAATTTCATGCAATCTAATAAGATGCAAGGAATTATACCTTTTTGTGTGTATTTGCTAAGAGTTGCTTTGTGGCCTGATTTTTAACTTTAAATTTTTTAAATAATTCCAGAATTACAAAAAGAGTTGAAAAAATAATTCATTGAGCATCATTATGTGTCAGGCAATAAACTGGAGGCTTAGAAAGGACTTATAATTGCTGCTGCTTCTTTTTCTTCCCAGGACTGAGGATTCAACCCAGGGGCTTGTGAATGCTAGGCAAGTGTTCTGCCATTGAGCTATGTCTCCAAATCCAGGGATTTGTATTTTCTATGTTTTTTTAAAAAATCCAATTCCTGTCTAAATTAGAAGAAATTCATATGATCTATGAGAAAAGGAAACTCTCCCTAATGATTCCTACACAATTCTCTTAACCAAATTTGTTGAAAGGAATAAAAAGAAAAATTCGGTTCTTAGAAAAGGAGACCTGGAGCTGGAAGTGGGGTGGGTTATGGTTAGGGTTGCCAAGTAAAATAGAAGGTGCCCAGGTGCCCAGTTACCT